TAAGTGTAAATGTAATGCCACAAGATATTAAGAAGCAAAAATAATATAAGTTTTTGTCATTTTTGGCTGTTACGAAGAGTGTTCGATTATTTTTGTGAGAATATGTTTCCCCATTAAACAAACGATAGTGATTTTTGAATTTAATTTTCATCTTTTCGAAAATGCATTTACTATAAAAAAAATGTTGAATTTATATACAGTGTCTCAAAAAAGTGATGGGACACTTGTGCTTTACAAAAGGAAACTGCAATAAAATAAATTTAAAAAACATGTAACATTTTTTGTGGGTGTGGTTTCATACTTAAATTTAGTGACAAATTACATAACATACATTTTCTCCAAAATATTAAAATATTAATTTAATAAAAATACAATTGTTTAGAACGGAGCAGAAAATGGCTCACTTAAGTGATGGGACACTTACTTTTTCATCAAATATTTATCCAAAAATTTTACTTTTTAAAAGGTTTTAATATTTTGTTGGATTTCCTTTTACTTTTAAAACATGATTTAATCTTCTTGGGATGGATTCGGCTAATTTTTATGTGATTTATGGAGTGATTTTACCCCATTCTTCTTGAAGCACCGATTTTAATTGTTGTTTTGAAGAAATGGTGTGTTTGCGAATTCTTGATTCCAATTCTTGCCAAATATTCTCTATGGGATTTAATTGTGGAGACTTGTGGGGGTGTTTTTATTATTTCAGGACAGTTTACAGCAGCCAGAGAGTCTAACGTTCAAAGCACTGTGCTTGGGGGTCATTGTCCTGGTAGAATTTAAAATCGTTATGAGGGTTCAATTTTCGTGCTGAAGATTTCAAATTTTGATTTAAAATGTCAATATATTTGTACTGATCTATTATACTGTCAATAAAAACAAGATTACCAAATCCAGCGGGCGACATACACCCCCATACCATAACTCCTCTTCCACCATGTTTTACTGTTGGCACCAAGTTCTGTTTGCGAAATTCTTCCCTGGGTTTTCTCCACACCAAGATTCTACCGTCAGAACCAAATATATATATTAAATTTACTCTCATCAGCAAATATAACTTCATTCCAGTAATCAGAATTCTGATTTATGTTGGATTTTGCGAAAGCCAGTCTGAGTTTTCTATTCTTTTCACTTACGAAGAATTTTTTCCTGGCTGCTCCACCGTGATATCCAGTAGATCGAATTACTCTTCTAATAGTCTCAGAATTAACAATTACTCCATATAATGCTTGTAAATAAGCAGCAACTTTAGGAGCACTCATTCTTGGATTTTTTTTTTAAATATTTCGAACGATAATTCGCTTTATTCCATTGGATAGCTTTGATGGTCGGCCAGGTCTTCTTTTATCCTGAATCATATGATTCTTTTTATATCGTTTAATGATATTGAAAACTGTTGAATGACTGAAGTTAACTCTTTCAGTAGTTTCTTTAATAGATTTTCCACGTTCAATATGCAAATTAATAACTAATTTTTGGAATTCCAGGCAAAGTTTCTTTTCGTTTAGCATTCATGGCTGCACAGAGCTAAAAACACAAAAATTCCAAAACAAACTAGAGAGAAATACTGCAGACGATTTTATAAATTATTGGCAATTGCTTTTGAGTAAAAATAAATACCCCAAAAGATATTTTTATTGCTTACTTCAGACGATTTTTGTTGCATAGTACGTAGGTCCCATCACTTAAGTGAGCCATTTCCTGCTCCGTTCTAACAAACAATTGTATTTTTATTAAATTAATATTTTGATATTTTGAGTGAAAAGAAAATGTATTGCTATGTAATAATTGTACTAAATTTAAGTATGAAAACACACCCACAAAAAATTTTACATGTTTTTTAAATTTATTTTATTGCAGTTTCCTTTTGTAAAGCACAAGTGTCCCATCACTTTTTTGAGACACTGTATAATCAAAACAAAAGCCCGTCTTTTTGTTTTAATTTATTTTAGCTTTTATAGTCATTAAAGGATACAAAAATTCGAAGTGTCCGATCATTTTTGTGAGTCACTGTATGTAAATACTAACTCTAAAGGAAGCAGTGACTTCTTGTGACAGAAAGGAATAATCATAAGGGACGTCAGCTTATAATTTTCAAAATACTGCTCTCTTTCTCTATTTTCGTATTTTAACTGTTAAATGCCTTGCATTTGAACCGCAAACATCCTTTGTTTCGTAGTTTATCCTTAAGTGTGAATAAATTCCCTTAGGTAAACGTCCTAGCAATGGTAATAGTTAAACCCCTATCACATATGCTTCCGCTACGCGAGGCTGGACGTCGACAGGCAAACAGACTTGAACGCCAAACATTTGGTTTCAAATTCTAAAAAAAAAAAAAAAAAAAAAAAAGCCCAAGTTGCTTGTTTTCAATTAATCAGCTATCGGCTTCGGAAGCTTGTTAGTAATGCAGAACCAGTTTCTCCTTTACATGTTAACCCCAAAGTGATTGGCTGTTGTGACAAAGCAGAAAAATTGTTCCAAAAGAAAGAATGTGTAATAGCAGTCTTACGGAAGCATTTTAGTAGTTTCTTTTAGACATTTTAAACTTGTTTGTTATTATCTCGCGAGCACGCGCTTCAAAATTACAAACACGAGAAGGCGCGCTGGGTATATCATACCCGAAAGCAATTAACACGTTTTAAATTGCTTTAATGATATAAATATGAGTATAAATGTGGATTAACATAAAAAACAATAAACTTTAGAATATTTTTAAGGAATATAATAAATGAAGTACTTAACTTACAGTTATTTTTTACATCTCTGACAGCTTTAACACATATGCTCCATACAAATACTGATACATTTCTCGCGCAGAAACCGTGCCTTTGTCCTTGTTTTTAGGGCACTCAGAGCATCTTCTTTAAATATTTTTCATCTTTTTAGATGGTGGGTTCATGCTGCAATCTCGTGAAACTATTTTTTTCTTTTAGTTTCAAAGGCAGCAAGATATATTGCTGCCATTGATTTGAGAAAAGAATGCCTGTTTCTAAACTGAGTTGGTAGTTCTTCTGAAGAAAGTAAGATTATTGGTGCATTGATTGCTACAACATTTAAAATCGAGAAAAAAATTACCATAGGTCACGGTTTCGAACTCTAGCTGTAGAATATGCTGCTCCCATTTCATCTACTGCTCCTTTGGTTAGATTATAAAATGAAATAATCTCCGGCTTTTTTAGTACTCCAGTGTTTCATCAATTTTATTATCATTGTGCATAACTGATAGTAGGACAACACTTTCATAATTTGATTGATTTTCTAATTCACTATCTAATTCAGTGCCTGTAACACTGTCTGTTGATGAATTATGATCTTCATCTATTAATTCTTCCTCCGCTTCGCAAACGATTCATCATCTGCTGAAATGGTTTCTAGCATATTTTTCAACCTTTCCATTTCTTTCTCACCACTTAGATACCACGCCATGCTGACTAACTAAGAAAGTGAGCATGAAAATCTGAGAGACGCGAGAAGGTGCACGGGTGTCACATACCCAAACGGTACAATTTTCTAGAAAAGTATTCAAAGAATCACTCCACGGATTTCTCAGCTTCAAGAATGTCTGTCACCTTGAATTCAGCTACAAAAGGTTTCGTCCATTTCCAAGAAAGGGGTTTGGAGATAAGGGACAAAGAATATGTCCCCGGGTATGTGATACCCGGCGCACTTGCTCACGGGTTAAGGAAGATTAAAAATAATATGAGAGAAATACATACTATTATAACAAATCTATTTCTTTTTATCCATTACTAAAGAATCTCGGGGCCAATAATTAGACACTTAAGTATGACGAACTACCATTTATTATGAATTAACACAAAGAAATAATAAAAGTGAGAGAGTTGTTTAGCTACATAGCTCACGCGAAGCGTACTAAGTAGTATAGTCAAATATAGAAAATCCGCCAACTCCTGAAACCCGCGTTGCCTTTTCCATTTGGTTTGGTCACAAGAACCACTGGCGCAGCATATAGAGACTTGCATTCTACTATTCTTTTCTAGCATATCATCAAGCTCCTTTAAAATCTCCTTTTTGGCTGGAGACATCCGGTATGGAGATAGAGAAACTGGAGGATTATTCCCGGTATTTATGTGGTGTTCAATATAAAGAGTTGCTTCTCCCCCTGGTTGAAACACAGTTTCATATTTCATTAACAGAGCACTTTGTTTTTCAGTTAAGATGTCTTCCTTCATTTTCTCTTAATCTCGGGGTCGTGGGTTCGGGTCCCACGTTGGGCACCACTTTAGTATAAGGGGTCGTTTTTGGATAGGGTCATAGAAGAGTCCTTTATAGTATAACAATTATTTATTAACAGGTTTAAGTTACACACAGACATTACATTTAACTTTAAGAAAATTACAGAGCAAGAGTGTGATACAACCTATCAGGTTAAAGGCTTTTACTGAAGCACTTCTCTGGCTACTCACCAGAGGGCACCCTTGTTGTTACAGTTGTTCAACAGTTAATATTAGCAGCAGAGTTTATAGTAAAGGATTGGTTACACTGGGTATTTTTTTCTTAAAATACTGGAAATTCAGGGACTAGATTTGATAGAGCAAAAATTTATCTAGTTAACAATAGTTATCTGCCTATGAGAAAGGACAAATTTGTTGAGACCTCCTAACTGAAAATGGTTCATATTTGCACATGAAGAAAGCCACAAAAACATCAATCAGCCATCTGTTTGACTACTGGAAATAGAACCTGGGACAAATCACAAATATTTCATGGCTTTAGTCATTTAGCCATTGTAAGTTTAAAAAAATTATTAGTGACAGAAGAAATCTGATGACAACTAGAAATTCAATGCACATATGTGCATAAAAATAGAAATTTAACAAAGACAATAAGCTACCATTTCATTTGCATTCTTTCACAATAAAAATATGTCTTAATCATTCTTTAATTCTTAATTTGCCTACAAAATGGATATGCAATAAAACATTTAATGATCTAGATGGAAATTAAATTTATTTAATCTCTTTTTTTTCTTCTACCTACAGAACAGAAATAAATGGAGGTCAAAGATGTGTGAAATGGAGTGCGGACCCAAACAGCAAGAAAATGCAAGTGACATTAACTCAACTGAAATACTAAAAATGATAAATTTATGGTTGTTGAGACAATATGCATTTTTTAGTATTTTATGAAGAAACAAATTTCTGTATATTATCCATAATTTCAACTAACATTTTGATAAATTTTCACTTTATTTCACCTTTTTTTTAATCTCATTACTAAAAATTGTATACTTATCAAAATAATTAGTAGTAAGTAATAACTGGTAGAAGTTAAAGCTTCAGTATCTCTACAATTTGTTCTTTGGTGTGTTATTTTAGTTTAAACTGGTAGTACATCTTTGGAAACTAATACAAATTTACACTTCGGGCATCAAAATCTTTTTTCCCATTTTTGAGATTTATTTTGTTTTGTCTCTTTCAAATTATTTTTAAATTCAAAATCAGGTATTTTACTAACACAAAAAATAAAACAAAATCAACAAAAGAGAGCAAATATTCTTGCTTAATCATTTATTTGACATGTATTTATCTTTCGTAAGTCACAAAAATAGATCAGCATCTCAATATATCTTTCGGAAAAATAAACCCTTCTTGGCATTCTTTTAACATACCAGATCATTTTCAAAACAACTGGAAACCGGTTTAATTGAAATATAGTATTCACAGAATAATATTTGTATATAAGCTTACTTGTTATTAAGTCATGATTAAAAAATAAATATAATACACAAAGTAAGAATAATAATCTTCGGATTATTAAGTCATGATTACAAAAAAATGAAGTATAATACACATATCAAGAACAATAAACTTCTTATTGAAATAACATCAGCAACAAAAAATTAAAATAAAACAATACTTTGAAGACGAGATATTTTCAGTGAGACATTTATATCACAAATGAAAAAGCAAAATCAGATCTCACCAAAATTTTTACATGTACATTTAAAAACAAATAATACTAATAAAATATTAAGTTTTTTATCATAGTTAAATATGAAATGAAATGTTTTTTATCATAATATGAAATGTTTTTTATCATAGTTAAATATGAAATATTTCCTTTCGTAACAACAAAATAACTACTTTTAATATCTTTGAAGTATGCACTTTTCAGAAAACCATCAAACTGATGTAATTTATACAATTTTCATTATAAAAGTTAAGCACCAAATTTAAGAATTCTGATCTAGCCATCTTCATATTAAACGCGACAATATGATTAAAAAAAAATTACTTTCTTTTCTATGTAAACATTTTCAAAATAGAAAATTCTACTTCCCAAGCCTTTAAATTACTACTGCATTCTTTCCTAAAAAACTAAGCCTGAAATATTTTTCTCAGTAATAAAATTTAGTATTTAGTATTGCTGGAATATATTGAAAAACAACATATTTATTAAAGAAACTGCTTCATATAAATCAATTTAACAGTGAAGGGGGAATATAAGAATAAAGAACAGGGGGAAAAAAAAAAAAAAAAAAAAAAACGATTACTGCTCCAAATTTCTGCAAAAAAATGAAAATGCAAGCCTTCTCTCGATTTGAGACTATCTTTTTTCTTTAAAAGTAAATATTAAATTAACTAAATTTCATGTTTTATATCATGCATATGCAGCAGTGCAATAACATAAAAATGCAAATATGAGATATTGTTGAACACAATTTCATCACTTAAAATTAGGTGTGTTTATATGCATACATATATGTGAGCGTGTTTAGAAGCACTGATATGTGAAATTTTTATTCTGATAGTACAGAATAATTTAAATGTACATATGAATTACTTTAAAAAAAATCTAATACTGATATTTACAAAGCTGCTTTATGCCAAACCTTATCTGGAAACTATTAAAGTTTAAATATTTTATTACAAATATAACAATATTTTATACCATCATTGCTTTATTTTATCATGTATTCACCATATTTTTCCCAGATGACTAGCATTTTAAGTTCAGTACTTAAAAAACATATAGGTTCTAACAGATTTTAGTAAATTATTATTTGGTAAATACATATTATTTTTTAATCTTCATTTTAAATAAATTATTAATGAACTTCAAAAAAGAATTTGCATAGATGAATCAAATAAAATAATAGTTTTTAAAAAGGAATGTCAAAATTACTGCATGTCAAATTATTTTGTCTATTATAAAATGTTAAGAATTCGTGGTTAAATGATTTAACTTATTTTACTTGATATATTCTAATAAATTAAAAACCAGTATTAGTAAATCCTGCATTGGATCAAAAAATTAAGTACCAGTTAGTTAAGGTGAAAATGTTTACCAAAGATTACAAACAATTGAATTAAGGAACCAGAGAGCATTATCCAATCTGTTAACAACTATGTATCAGAAGCTACATCTATTGACAATACACCAAAAGATGAATGCAAATATTAAGCAGAATACGCAATTAAGCATTTCATATTATATGTCCTCTTTTCTAAAATCTTTCAAGCAAGTTTTTTTTTAATTGTTATTTCACTTTATGGAAAAAATATATATATATATATATATATATATCATTATTTTAAAGGGACAACATAATTAACAGTTCTTATACACTGAATTTGATAGAATTATTCTGATTATAACTCAGCATTTATCACTGGGACACAGGAATTTTATCTCCCCCGGCACATGAAATTATTATTGCTGAAATATATTACTAAAGCTTGAAATCATAAATGCTAAGGTTATGCCTAATTTCTGTCCAACATCAATTTCTTCTTGTATTATTCGAATTTTCAACTATGCAAGTATTAAACAATGTTCAGATGTGAATTGCAATATTGCTATCAGTTTCTATTACAATCAATACAAAAACTTTCATTTTGGAAGTAAAGATAAAGATGTGACCTTTCACTTCAACTGTGATATTAAATATTGATCATTCATTAAAAAAATGAAATAAAATAAAAATGAATGGAAAAATACTGACAGAAAACTTAACATAAAAAATGAAAAGAAAAATATTGGGAAAAAAAGAGAAAAAACTGCATGCACTGAAATTTGTCCTATACCATGGTAGACAAAACAAAACTTAACCAGTAAAGATTAAATTTAAAAACATATGACAAAAGAAATGTACAAATCTTATTTTCTTATTGATACTTATACTCGAAATATCTTTACCTGATTTATCAAGTTATCCTATATGGAAAACATAAATTTATAATTAAAAACATATGTATATTTTTAAAAAAGAATTATAAGTTTGTTTTACTTATGCAGGGCTAAAGAAAGAGAAGGGCTGGGTCATCCCTTTGAGAAGAACGATGCCGACACGAACCCCTCTTGGGGAGGATACTGGATGTTATGTGACGTCACTGGGTTCGTCCCGTCGTCGACTAACCAGAGCATCAATGCGAAAGATTGAATCTTTAGTTCTTGGATTCTCTTTCTTTAGCCCTGTTAGTTTCAGAGAAAGAGTTTTTTTTTTACTTGAAAGTTATAAACTGATGATACTTTTTAAAGGGATTTTTGTATTTCGAACGTTCTTGTAATGAGAAATCATTGAAAAAAAAATGGTATCGTGTGCCATTGCTACCTGTAGCAATACGTATCATAATACGAAAGAAACTAGCGTGGTATTTCATAGATTTCCGTACAAAATATTCAGTTAACGAAAGAATGGTTGCATAGGTGTCGAAGAGCGGATATTGTTAACACAAAGAGTGCTCGAATATGCAGCATTCACTTCACTGAATCTGATTATGAGGATGATATGAAAAATAGGTTGCTAGGATTGCGGACAAAAAAGATACTGAAGTCAACTGCTATTCCAACTGCTTGTATTCCTGACTTGGTTATTTATCAGAATACACCAAGGCAGCAAAGGCAACAAAAAAGAAAAAATTTACAAAGTGCATTTGAAAGAATTCAGAAATTAAGTCCTAAAAAGGCATGTCTGGAACTTAAAAACAATAACAGTAATAGCAATGAGGAGCTCACTGAAAATAATATTACTCAGCAATTTTGTAACTGTTCCAACCTCCAGAAAAATGTGAATGATTTAATCACAAAATTATCAGCTCTTGAGAATAAGGTTTCTGTTTTACGACTGAGAGAAAGCAGCATTTAAAAACTATCTCCCAGCAAAGAAAAAGATTTAAAAAGGAATAGAAAACTAATATTAGAAGAAGTTCAGAAACTGAGGAAAGACATTAAAAAAGTGAATCAAGAAAATGAAAAACTAAGAAAAATGAAAAACGTATATTCAAAAACAATTTACCGAAACTCAAATAAATGCATTAATGAAAAAAAGCGAATATTAAAAATGGTCTCCAGACGACATTTCAAAAAGCATAGTAATCAGATTGTTATCCGTAAAGTCATATGACTTCTGGAAAGAAAAAATGGGTATTCCGCTTCCAAGTGCAAGTACACTGAAAAGATGGTGCTCAAGATTCAGTTGCATTCCTGGAATTTTAAATGATGTACTGTTATTGATTAAAAAAAACTTGCCAATATGCAACTGACGAAGAAAGATTATGCGTATTAAGTTTCGATGAAATTCATATAGATTCAAGAGTCTGTTATGATTCAAAATTGGATCAGATATTAGGTCCTTTTAAAAGACTCAATTTGTTGTATTGGTTCGAGGACTCATTTCGCAATGGAAAACAAGCCCATTTATTTTGATTTTGATCGTCAAATGAAGGAAAATCTTCTGTCTTCCATTTTGTTTGCACTTTGAATCGTCTGGGGCTTCGAGTCAAAGCAATTGTATCTGACATGGGAGGTAGTCAGACCCTTTGGAAAGAATTACAAATTTCAACAGATTAAATCTTTTCTTTTACAGTCCCAAGTTCAGCACCAAAATATGGGTTTTCGCTGATATGCCGCATTGCATAAAGCTTTTGAGAAACCATTTTCTTGATAAAGGTTTTATTCTCGGAAATGGTACAATTATAAACAAAGACGTTATATATGAAGTACTCAATAAAGATATCGGAGAAGAAATTAAACTGTGCTATAAACTGAAACCTCAATTTTTATCTGTAAAAGGGAAAACGAGAGACAGAAAGTAGCAGTACAAAGCAAAAGCATTATTTTCCTCCACAACGGCTAAAGCAATTATGCATTTGACTGGTAATGCTGCAACAAGTAATTTTTTTTTCAATGGTTGATGATTTTTTTTTGACATTATGAATAGTAGTGTACCATTACCCCCCCTAGCAATAAGCCTTTAAAAGCTGCTTTCCGCCTAGAAAGCTATTAGGAAGTACAAAAAGAAAAATTAAATGAGATTAAAGCAAATGATTTTTGATCGCAGAGTATGCAGAAAGAAGACAATGCTACCTTTTCAGAAAGGTATTATCATATCGATAAATTCGCTTTTCGGTTTATTTGACGATGTAAAATCTATAAATGTGAAATATATTTTAACATCAAGACTGACTCAAGATGTATTAGAAAGCTTGTTCAGCCAGATTCAGGGTCTAGGGCGTTTTAATGACCATCCGTCTCCATCAGACGTAATAATTCGCTCTGTAAAAGGTTGCTATTGGCAAACAAATTGCCTAGATTGTCGTTAAAGGCAAATGCTAATGACTGTGAAGAATGTGAAGAAAGTTTATTTGACAAAACAGCTGTTAGAAACAGCTTTTTCTTCAAATGATGAAAAAGCACAAATGTTTGAGTCTTCCTTATACGAAGATGATTCCAATTAATTATGAAGACATCTATGATGAATGTACGTCACTTCCTTGGGAAAACCGAAATTTATGATTCAACAAAAAGATATATCTGGCATATGAACAAGAATCGCTCGCTTATGTGGCAGGTTATATTGCATATCGTGTGAAAGATAAAGATCCTACCTTTGAGTGAAATATTAAAAAAAATTCGTAGATATTCCTAACGACTCAAATTGGATAATTTGTATTATCTAAAGGAGGATTAACTGTACCATCACCAGTTTGGATGGAAACGATGATGAAAATGGAAAATGTTTTCCGTTCTTTTCATGATAGTTCTTTTCGAAAAGGTAGAGGTGTAATTCAGAATCTCATTTCTGAACTTGAGAAAACTTTTCCCTCCGTGAATAAGAGTGCAATTCGTTTATTTTTGCCGTTTACGAACATTATAAGGGTTCGGCACTTGAATAGGAATGCAACCCTTGTATCGGCAAGAAAAGCTGACCAGAAAGCAAATAAATGATAAAGATAAGTAATAGAGGATTATCGAACAAAAAACTATATAGGAAAAAAAATCATGTAAGTTGATTCATATTATTCCTACCAAAAATAATAATTTGAATCATTACTTTATTATTCACTTAATTTGTGACCTAATTTATGCACGTTTCAAATTAATTATTTGGACTACTATATAAAATATTATATTTATATTACTAATTTAGACTGCTAAATTTTACTATATAAAATAAACCATTGAAATTCTGAATAAAACATAAATTAGTATCAGAGCATATTACTTTTAAATGTAAGAATACATGCTATTATTCCAAAAATATATAATACTATTTTAAAATATTTTCAGTTATTTTTGAGTAATTGACGTTAAAATAATAATACTGATACTGATATTCCATAATAATGCTTTCATAATAGACATTGGCAAAAGCTTACAAAATTCTACTACTCATTATCAACGCTAATTGAAAAGCAAAAAATGGAAAAGTGAAAGTGAAATTTGTTTCATTTTAATGTGTTATAAAATCTATTATTAGCATTAACTAATTTTTTAATTAGATAGATGGGTAATGTCTTTAGCATGTATTCTCAAAATGTATTTGCATATTTTTATTTAATATTCTATAATGCAAATTACTTTGCGACTAACTTATATTTTAACGCCAAAAAAGAATTCTTGTAAATGTAGAAATTTACGTATGTTATCGGTGGGTTTATTATTTACATTATTTAAAAAGATGATTATGAAAAAGAATTACTACATTTGGGTACACTCGACCTAAAAAATTAGTTATGTTTACGCATATGTGTTAATTAAAAAATAGTTATGTTTATGCATGTTTTTACTTACGTTTTACGCATATTAGAGTTAAATAAATACATTTCTAGTTCATATATAAATGCATGTATATTGCAATTTCATGAGCTAAAATCTCGGCTCATACTGGTTATTAAACTATTTTTCAAAGCGTTTTGATTCTCAAGCAAATGCTTAAGAAACTGAACAGCAGAACTGACCAAGCGAACCCAACTACGTCATCAGTCTCTTCTTTCGGTTTCAGCCGCGAGAAGCTGATGAACTAGCCCTTTAGCCCTGTTACTTATGTGCAATATTTTTGGTCAGAAGTTATGATAGATTATTCAGAGTTTTCAAAACTTAATCTAAAAAAAAAAAAAAAAAAAAAAAAAAAAAAAAAAAAAAAGAGAGAGAGAAGAAGAAGAAGACATACATGGTAAAATTCTTAAGATTAAATAACAGAAATCAAAAGAATTTCAAATATTATTTTGATAATTTAAAATTTTCAGAATCCAAAATTTCTTAGAAATCAATGCACTTGCTTAGTTTCTCAGGATAAACAACCAATAATATACAATAAATATATATACCTTTTCATCAGAAAATGTAAAGACAATTAAAATTCATGACAAAGATTTTTTAATATAAATGTTAACTATTTCATTAGTATAATGCCTGAAATTAAAACACTACTTTTGTACAAATACATATGTTTGATTTGTTGTCACACATTTTCACAGCTGTACATCAATGTTAACAAGCCAACAAACAGTTATGAAGAAGCAATCACCAGTTGGGATATAATACAAGAACTGACCATCTAAATAAACCTTGATATGCCATGAAAATGAAGGTAAAGGAAAATGTGAAAAAATTTTTTAAACTAATTGATCTTAACAGTCAGATAATTTTGCACAAAATGAAAAGAGTTTTAAGTGCTGAAATAAAAGCATCTGGTCCAGTTCAAATTATTCTCATATATATTTTAATCATGTTTTTGGGAGGGAGGGCAGCATCAGGAGTCTCAGAAGAAATATTTTAAATAAACAGCATAACATTAGTATAATAGCAATGAATACAAAGAAGTTTTTAATACTAGTATTACAATAATTCATAACATCAGTAAATCAGTAAATAACAGTATTAGTATTATAATACTACTAATGGCTACATAATACTATTCATTAATTAATAACAAATACATGAATAACATGAAAATAACTATAAATTTCTTAATTTGATGATACAAATTAAATATTGGCAAATTAAGGCCAGAATTGAAGAAAGATTAATATATGCTTGAATTTTGAAAGCAAGCATTTCTTTACATATATCTAATGTATTGATTAATGAATTCTACTGATTTTACTATGTAAACTCACAGAACAAACTGAGGGTTTATTTAGTAAGAGAAACTAGATGCATTTACAATGATTCTAGGATATTTGTATATTCTATAAATTCAACTTTTTGAAAATAAATTTCAGTAATGACCAAAAGAGTGTTAAACCTATTTTTATTTACATATATTAAATAAATTTCTTATTCATAATCTCTAAACATATTCATAATATTAAGAAGATAAAGTAGATTAAGGTAGCAGTACTAACTAACAGGCTTCTAAAATGGTGAAAATAGACATCTAATTTCCAGTTTATATTCAAGATATAAACAGACATTTTCTAAGATGCAAACATGGATTGAGAAAATGTAGATGCAGCAAGTTCTTTCTTAAATAAAGTAGAAACAGCAAAACTATTCTAAATCATAAGCTACGGAACATTAACCATGATGAACTTCTTATCTTTTTTTAAAAAAAAAATCTAGAAATATGGAAATAAAATGATTTATTTTGATATGATAACATCTCATTCAGATGATCATTTTCAAGAAAAATATTTCTAAAAGAGAATATTAAATGCTTTTAATTGTGTCCAATTACATCATGAAAGCCTCTAGGGTAAAAAAGAAAGAAAAAGAAGACAACAATGGTAAATAAGTTATCTGTTTACAATAGCATATGGTGAATAAATAGATGCAATTATTTCATTAATAATTCCATTAAAATTTTTTTAAATACTTCTGCTGCACATTCTGACCAAAGCAGTCGTTTGTTCCAAATCCTGAAATAATAATTCCTTTAAATGTTTGTTATAAATATTTCTGTTATTTATTCAAATAGCTGCATTAACTACAGGAATCTGTAAAAGATGCACCTCATTACCAGTAAACTGATAACTTTAATTCAATTTTTACGCAACCTATTATTAAAATTGTTCTTCTCTTGAATTCCTCAAAACTTGATACAGAAATTTCTAAAATAGAACAAAGTATAATTTGAAGCAACAAAAGAATTTTCACAGTGCAATTTAAAAAGTATGTTTGCATTATGTATGACAATACATGAATTCAATGTATAAAAATGGAGTTGAACGACATAAAAAAGAAAGTAAAATGTATAATTTTTTTAATCTAATAAGGAATAATTTTTAGCTAATTTTCCATTTAAGAAATCATTAGCTGGATTGAACTGCATGTAGCGTATCACTGCTCTCACCAGAGCTATAAAAATATATAATTCTTAATTTCTGAAAACAGTGTTAAAATTAAGTTCTAAATTAAAATGCAGAATTCTGTAGATTGCTTGAAAACACTAAAATTATAAAATAGGCTATGGTATATAAGGAAAATATAAAATTAATATACTTTTAATATAAGAAAAGGAAAACTTTTATTTTTCAGTCTATACATAAAAAACAGGAAGATGTAACAATGGCCTATATAAATAGAAACTTTTTTAATATATTGATATTAAAAATTTATTATATATATTAAAATATTAATCCTTATATTTTATAAGGACAACTGAAATGCTCAATTTTTATGATATTTTCATTGGAGAAATACTATAAAAAATTTTAAATGGCGCTGCCAAAACACAGAATAATTTCTAATCTCTCATATATATTGATCAGCAATTACAACTTTTTCTAAGATCATGTTATAAACTGTAAGTTATAAAATTTAAAGAACTATAAAGATTCTTTAAAAAAAAAAAAAAAAAAAGTTACACATTTAAAGTTTTAGAATACTACAGCAGGTACTTTTAAAGAAGGAATAATATGTATATATATATATATATATATATAAATAGAACTTTTCAATAAAAAGGGGGGACTACGACTAGATTATTAACACACTTTTTAAAAAAGATTTGTTAGGTATGGTTTTGGTAATACATTTTGGTAATACATATTTATTTCACCACAAAAATCCTTTATATTATAAATGGTTATAAAAGAACAGTTATGTTACATATAGAAAAACATTTTACATAAATTTCATCATTTATGCAAATTCTGTACAGTAAAAAATGTGAAACACATAAAACAAAACACAAAATCAATCTTGGTTAAAAAATATACAGAAAGAAAAATAACTCCTAATAAAAAAATGAACCAAGCTGTGTACCAAATTGTCATTCATACTATAAATAATACTGCATTATTTAATGGATAAATTCAGAAACTATTTAAAAAGCATATTTGCAAGATTCCAAGGAAGATTATGGCATATTCAATACATTTTACTATAGTTCAGCATGAATTTTAAGAACATGGTGGCAAAAAATAAAGTACCAGTTTGTAAGTACATCAAAATCACATATCAAAATTCTTTTGTAATAACACAATCACATTAAAGTGATATTTTTGTTTCTTAGCAGCAACATTAAAAACTATTAACAGCATTATTGAACTTGAAACTTTAAATGGGATAATATCACAAGCTCTAAAAACAAAACATGTAAAATATAGTAACAAGGTGGGATTACCAAAATAAAGTATTAATATAAAATAAAACAAGTACATCTGAAAATGAAAATTTCATTATGCAGATGATTAAAAAAATTCTGGAACACCACAATACATAAAAAAAAAAAAAAAGGACCAGAGGAGATTTATAAGGAATGAGGTGTTTTTAAATATTTTCAAAGCCAATTTTCTTTTATCTCTGTATTCAAAATTTCATGTTACAAGATACTATGATCTGAATAAACATTGTTATATCATTACAGTCCATTAAAGCAGATAAATGACAAAAAAATATGTCACTTCAAAATTCCTAGGTAAAATCCCAAAATCTTTACAAAATCATTTTAAGCTCTTATATGTATCAAATCAGAACAAGACAAAAAGTCTCAACTGGAGATATCACCGAAATCTTTCACTGAACTTTTTAAAATAAAATTAAATAAAATCTTTATAAATTAAGGCATCTAGAAAGTGTGGGACACTTTTTACTAATGTTTCAGTTACAATTAAGAGATTTTTTTTTTAAAGTATGATCAAAACACAATAAATTTTATCACAATCTTTGCTGCATGGAAAACTAAATTATTTACAACTACTGCTTGCCTCTTGACAGAGCAGGAGACATAACTGTATAAAAAATTTTGCACATTGTTTCTTTCACTACAAAATAACAACAGGAAAAAAAAAAAAAAAATTAAAAAGCTTCAGATGATTCAGTAACCATTTACCCAAGTTAAGTGCAAAGTACATCTGTACACTATTACTCTAATAAAAAATCAGAACATATACAGATATAATTCTGCACATAAACTAAATGCACTTTACACAGATCGTTTATAACTAATTAATTTCTCAGATCAACTATATAATGCAAACATTTTCTACTTTAACATTTTTAAGCAAAACATTATTTTCAAATGTCAAATTATTAACTGAGCTATAAAGGGAACAAAAACCCCTACAACTTGTATTAAATATGGTATATCGAAAAATAAAATGTCATAAGTCTGGTTTAAACTAATAACTTTCATTTAAAAAAAAAAAAAAAGTAAAAGAGACTATCTTTAATTTCCAATAATTGTTTTGTAGGCTCCATCAGCACAGTTATTGATGCTTTTGAGTTTGCTTGGGGTCCATTCACTCTTTAAAGAAAGATTGAACATCGAATAGGAAGGGTCACCAGTCACTTCCTTAACGACATTCAAAAATGGGGAAAGACGACCAATCAATTCATTACCTTTCAGTGTTGTATATGTTTCCAATAAAATTAAACCATCACACCTATAAAAAGAAAAAAAAAAGACACACACACACATATTATATAACTGTATAAAATAATGCAACATGCAACTAATTACTGCACTTCTTCAATACTTAAGATACCTTTGATTGTAAGCTATATTCTTTAATTTAAGCAGTGGAGGAGAAGGACGAATTATTCTAAGAAAATTCTATAAATAAAATACTATGCCCAACAATTAGAAATTAAAATACAGTTCCTTTTATAATTAAAAACAATACTTATTTATCAGTAGTTATAATATTCACATTTCCCATCCTGAATCTCAGTCATCTTTATCCCATTTATGCATTATCTTCTCTGCCATCAAGAGCTTTGGTAATGCAAAAATTTTTAAACAAACAATATGCATTAAAAAAAAAATGAATGCCCCAAGTAAGTGCATGAGAAAATATAGGAAATTCCAAATTTTAGAGGTACTTACAAATGGAGAGATACATTTCAGATTTAAATTAAAGCATGCTTAATAGTTACAGAGCTTAAAAAAATATGAATTACAGCTTCCTATAGCAACTTACTTTTAAGTTACATATTAAGTAACTACTAAGTACCTCAAAACTATTAAAATAAGCAGATGTATAAATGTTCATATGCAAGCAGTTTAAATCTATATACACTGTCAAAAGTAATGCAGCTCTCCCTCAAATGCATTTGAACTATATCAAACTGCTTGTAAAGAATGACTAGGTAAGAGTATACAAATGATAAAAAATGCAAAGTATTCATCATACCCACACAGTTGTGCTTCATGTTCAGTATAAATATGTATACAGCTCTACCTGTAAGTTCACCAGAACAGGCTATGCTGTTGCCAAGCCAGATACAATTGACAAGCTGAATGGAAATGAGTAGTATTCAGAAACAAGGCCTACTTCTTTCTTGGTGCAGATGATGGTCAACTATAAATCAGCTCCACCCAGGATCTTCATCTGTTATTACGGTATGGACTATCACATTTTATGATTCTCAAACTGCTTGAGTGTTTATGATGGGCAAACTAACTGGTCAGGTCAATAACCACAATCCTCTTCAGAGAAATTACCTAAGATGAAGTGCTCAAGAAAGCAAATGTGCAAGCACACACCAGTTATGGGGGGGGGGCTGTTTAACATAAGGGATTACTTTTGAAGCATTAAATACAGACTATGAATGCTTTGCCTTGGGTGCCCAGTTCACTAGATCTGTCTCTAGTTTAGCATGAGTACAAAAACTGATCTATTATTTCCCACAATCACCGTGATATTCTGTCAACCTATATCAAAGAGATGAATTATGGTGGGCTGTATCATGCGATTTCATGTGCACACTACATAATAGTATGCTACAATGGATAACGAGCAGTTGTAATATGCAAGGAAGCTAATTACATAGGGTATTAATATGTTGGTTACAACAATATGAATATTGCATGGACATGCAAATAAAATCATATGCATTGGATTGTGCATTTCTTTCCAATGCCAAAAAACAATTTGTATGACTATCTTGAGGTAGCATTATTTTTTGGCACTGTTTGCATATAAAACAGACATAAGCAATGCTTTTGTTTTAACTTAATTGGATAAATGGGGCAATCATCGTACAGAAAGTTATTTATATCAGAAATCGTGACAGACATACTAAATAAAGGCTTGTCTCAAAAGCAATAGAATGAATAATTCTTATTAGAGTCTTGCACAGTTTTTTTTTTAAATTTAATTAATTAATTTATTTTTATGCTATGCGAGATTTCACATAATTCCCATTTCATGTACAAGTTTAATCTATGAGGGATTAGTTTTGAAGCATTAAATAAATAACTATGATTATGTTATCACCTGGGATGACATGGGGATTTATAAATATCCATCTGCATATACATGTTGTTTAACATAAAACATCTTCTTAACTTATATACTGTATAATGCTTGTCATCTCTCTGCGCAAGCATGTTCTGAAAAGAGAAAGAGATAAAATTCATTTAAAGCTATACTGAAAATTTTAACAAAATAACTATGCAGTGCAACAAAAATGAAAATTAAAATATTAAAAAGCTCAACTATATTAAAGTATATTCATTATCTTTCCCAATACCAGCAAATTATTGTAGATTACATACTTATAAATAAAAAAAAAGTTTTCACACCCACTGCCAACCCTGAAATATGGGAAAGTTATGAGGCTCTTGTGTAAAACCAGGAGTTTCCAAGAAGCTTTTCCTACTGCATAACTTAAACCCACTTCAAAAAACTTCAAATTAACTTTACTTTATAAAGTCTGATTTAGGTTATTAAACTATCGTAATACTATACTGATGTAAAATACAGTCAAAAGTCGTTAATTCAGACACCCATAATACGGAATGATCTATAATCCGGACCTCAAAACTAAAAACTTTCTGCACATGTGCCGCGTTGGCACATGCGTTTTACGCGTGCGCGTAAGACCTTGACTACTGCGCATATGCGTGTGCGCAAGTGCAGAATACGTTTTCGCCTGCGCGTTAATGTATAACGGACGGTGTAAGCTAAAATTATCTAATTATCTATTTCAGTTAATGTTAATTGCATTGCCTAAATCTTCGAATTGGATCCGCTTATTATTTTTTGCAGACTGTAAGAGCAATTTTATAAAAGTAAACTTGAACTTTCGATTATGTCAAATAGAATTTCCAATGCTGGAACTTTCAAAGGATCTACAAAACGAAAGTATGGTTCGATGTCCAACAAACAAAAAGTGTAATTACTGCAAAAAATGGATGAAGACATGAAGAATGTGACAGAGAGGTTAGTGAAAACGAAAAAATTTCGATTGACAAGTTAGTCGGTATTCTCGGCAAAGCAATTAATGGGGCTTGAACAGGGGAACTTTGTAACTGAACAAGAAATTATGTCTGTTTATAGAATTAAAGACTTTTGACTTTTTAAAACGAAGCAACTTAAACAACTTACATTGAAAGAAATGTTTAATAAAGTAAACAAATAAATATTAAGCTTTTTTTTTTTTTTTTTTTTTTTTTTTTGTAAATTTTGATAGCCTTTAGATCATAATTGTTCTTTATTTCATACATTACGGTTTCATATTTTTAATTTTAGAATTTCTGCATGCCATCTTACGAGATTTAAACTGATGATCCATAATCCGGAAAAATCAATAATCCGGAATGGCCGAAGTCCCGACGAGTCCGGATTAACGACTTTTAACTGTACATATTAATATTTAATTAGTATAGACAAAAAGTAAGAAATTTAGAGCCATTAAAATTGAAATTAAAATGTAGAAATATAAAATCTATTAGAAACTAACGAGAATACTGTAATCAGATATTAGAAACTAATCGAGAATACTTTAATCAAACTTTAAATTTCAAAACAAAAAACAGAAAAGTTATATTCAAAATTGATGCAAAGGGTTTGACGAAGATGAGTCTCTTTAAAGGTGAATTCAATGCTTGTAAGATTTTTTACATTTTTTTACAAAAAGGAATGTGTAAAGGGAAGTAAGAAAAGGAAGAAAAGCAACAAAAGTTAGAAAAGTAAAAAGTCTTCACGTCATGGGCTTTTCACAATGACCTGAATATAATAGATCCTATGCTAATAACAGCAAAGCCAAGAAAAATATACATACATAGAAAAAAATACATAAAAAGAAAACTCCTTTTTACAATTACTCCAGCTTTTTTTAAAAGATGGTATATGAAGCTAATTGGAATTTCATTTTCTTTTAAAGTTTTAGTGAGAATATATATGCTTAATTAAATTTTAGATTAAAATTTTATCAATATTAATAAAATTAATAATTTATTTATTTAAATTCTTCTTGTTGTTATTCTATTTCATGCAAACTTTTTTATTCTGTTAATTTGATTAATAACTGTATTTGCTATGACTTTTAGAGGTGTTGGAGAACGAATTTAAAAGTTTTATTGTAGATAAATTAAATTCTCTCTTTTTACCAAAAAAAGTCTTATTTCTTTAAGATTATGAATGCTAAGATTTAGACAGCCTATTACTAATAGATTTTTATTGGTTTTATAGTTTTAGAAAGTTAGGGTAGACATTCCTATTTTTAATAAGATTATTATAGTTGAATGTGATAATATCATCAATATATCTGAAAAAGTATTAAAAATTATTAAAATAATTTTCAGAAAGGTTTTTAAGAAATTTAAATTTTTTAGAAAACAAATACAGGTAACACAGATGAGTTGAATAAAAACTTCCCTTTAGAATCCCATCTGTTTGTTAGGTAAAGAAACTCTGAATGTTTTATGTAGTTATTGAAAAGCGAGAAATAGAGAAATTCTTTCCATTTTTGCAAATCCAGAATAGTAAGCATTTCATGAAAAAAATTTGGTGGCTCCAGGAGACTTTCGTAGATTTCTTTGAGTGGGAGAGCAGAGTAGAGATTTTCAAAGTCATAGCAGTTAATATTATAAACTTTTAGATTAACTTTATCAACAATTTACAAGATGTTGTTATTAATCCAACAGTAGCTTTTATCAGCTTTAGCTCATCAAAGACTAAATTACATACTGATTTAAGCAGATTGTGAAAAGATTATCAAAATTCTTCTTGAAGCTTCTAGTACAATTTGCAATAAATCTAAATTTAACAGGATTTGTATGACATTTTGGTAAAGCATATAGATTGGCAAATCTATTGTTCGCAGTGTAAAGATATATTTTTTTTCATTTTTTGTGAAAAGCAGAAATTTTGTTGATTATTTTCCTTTCTTATTTTTGGAAATACAATAAGCAGAACTTTGCAGTTAATTTTCACTAAGAGAACTGTAGAACTTTTTTCATAAAATACTGAAATTACTGCTTGCTTTATCAATTTTGGTAATTGTAAATTGCTTTTTCAAATGTGAAAACTTCTGAAGTAAATTCTTCCACTTTTAATTCCTTTAAATGCTTTTAGGTAGTCAATTTAACGTTTGCTTTGAATAATTATTTTATTCTTTCATTCCTTTACAAGATGAGAAGGTAAACTTAGTAGAGAACTTGCTTTCAGTATAATCTTGTCAATAGCTGCAGAAATACTTTCGATACAATGGAATTTAGGAATGTATTTAATTGGTCTAAATTTTGTTCCCTTTTTCAAAGCTGCTTTAGTTCCTGATCTTTGATGCTAAGATTTTCTGTAATTATATGCTTGTACTGTTTGTCCAAATATGGTTGAAATAAAAAAAAAAAGTGTGATACTATAATATTTAATTAGATATTCTAAATCTTATGTTTTTTGCCTTATTTTATTTTGTAATTTTATTATGCACTTTTATAGTGAGAAAGTCTTGAATATGGAAGTAAAGCTTTAGCTTATCAAAACATTTTTAAATATGATTAAAATAAAATTAATAATTAACATACCTACTGCTGTACACATAAACTTAGTAACGTACCATATGAGTATCTTGATATAACACAAATACACATATCAACTGATTAAACATTAGTTGAATTTTCATACAAAGTTCTATAAATGTCTGCAGTAAATTAAAACAATTCAGAACAGATAAAATTTAATAAGAAAATTACCAGAGGTATGGCAATAAAATTTGGACATCTCAGGTTCATTAACTCAATAAATCGCATTTATTGCTGAAAAACATTTTCCTTAGTAAAGGCTTAAAATTAAAAACCGAGAGGTTCATTGATCTACCAAGAGATGTGACAAAAATTGGAAGTCTCTTGGTAAAACGAGCTGGTAGCTATAGAAATCATTCATAAAAAAAATATGGCAATTGTGCACATCTCTAGTGAAATTATTTATAACTACATTATATACTTGAAAGCTGATAACTATATGAATAATCTGTTTAAATACTCTTCCCTTCCTCTTCCTTTAAATATCTAATATACGTATATCCTTTCCACCAACATGTTATTACTGGAGATCTTAATATCATTGAAGATGCAGAATTACGAACCCTTCTGCAACTTGGCACCAAATTTCGTCCTACTTTCGGTGTTAATAAGCACATTTGCCTCAAACAATTCAATAATGATCTTGATAAATTTATAATATTAGCTAGTAATAGATCTAATTTACCTACTACAACTTTTCTAGAATGGAAAGCTGCACTAATTAAAGAATTTCAATGTTTGCTGTTCAAGGCACCTTTTTTTCAACTCTTTACACAATAAAAAACGTCTAAAGGATCTAATTCAAAAACTGGAAGATAACTTTATCATCACGATAAGTTATCTAGAATAGTATAAATAGTATCTAGAATGTGATTCATTATTTACATGTTATTGTTGCCAGCCTGCGAGAGTGAGGCTTTATTATAATATATATTAAATTTTTTATTGTTTAAAAATTGTACTTTTTAAAAAAACAATTATTAAAATGTAAAATAATAATACCTTTTTAACTAATTCTAGATTATTGTATGTCTGATTTTTCTGCAGACACAGATACTTTTCCGAATCCAGTGCTAGTGCAGTTAGGTAGTGGCTATACTGAATATATTTTAGAATATTTTTTGCCAGATTCAGCATTTTATTATTAATTGCATTATTTTCTTATTACGAATATATTCTATACATTATATTATCATGTTTTTTTGGGGAGGGCGCCAAAATGCAGACGCCAGTTATGCTCACTACACCACTGGCTCTTGCCTGTGGCTAACATTTTTTCAGGCTGAGATCAGATCTGAAGCATAAGGTATTAGGGCATTTCCAAATTTCTTGACTTAATATATTTAATCTTCCATCTCTTTTTAACAATATAATGGTGTTCCAGATATGCATCAAAACAAATAAATCAATGGTCACTCAATGATGGACATTCATTCCATAAATGCCAATTATGGATACTACAAGAGAGGGAGAAGGTTTTTAATCTTACATCTGGCCAGCCTCTTGTCCGCATCATCCACAATGTTGGTGAACAGTCTAAGGAGTTAGCAATGCCCAAGGCACTTGTAAATACGTAATAGAGACTA